ACATTCTGTCTCTCCCTCAGAGTACCTTAGTACTCCAGCTGTACTGGCTTGCATATGTATATGTAGCAATTGGTGGGGATGATTGTCTCCTTCACAGGAGTTGCTTCTCTGGGTGATGGCTGTGAGGCCCGGACTGGAAGCATTACTAATGGTCTGGGGGGTGCTGCTACCAGGGCTTCTGTGCCTCTCTGCCTTTAGTGGCACTTGGTCAACAGATGTTACTGGTGGTGATGAAGATGGTGAGACTTCTTCCCCACCATGAATTCTCCACTCAGTGATGCTTATAGGGACTGAGATAGAAGCAGGTCTGGTGGAGGTTAAGGAGAGACAGCTATTCCCAAAGCTGTGTTTGAATTTTCATTTCTTTATGTAGGTACGTCCTGCTTAATGTGAATATTATCTATCCTCAAATGGTCACATTATTTGAATTTGTACTGCATATTTTATTTGATCTGGTACCAAATATTTTACATAATTATAACTTTGAGTAGTGTGAATTCAAATACATGTTATCACTTCAGGGGATTTATTATTTGCTCCAATCAAGACCTATATTTGAAGGTCTTCCCTGGTCACTTGTAGAATTTATCATTGGAATCATTAAATTTAACCACTCTGTGTCTTGGAGTTTGTAACTGATGATTTTTTTTTTTTTGGTGAGGGGGTTGGTTATTTGTTTTTTGGAGGTGATCTGTGAATTCTTTCAGTTATCACTTTGTTTTCTGTGTTCAGAAGTTCTAGGCAGTTTTCTTGTATTTTTTTTTCTAGCGTTAGGGTATTTAGGTTTTTTTGACTTGTGACATTTTTCTTGGAAGGCCTATAATCCTAAAATTGTCTTCATCCATCTTGTGTTTGAGACAGAATGTCTATATGGAGATTATGCTTTCTCTTAATGGCATTTTTATGTTTTCTTCTTCCAGATTGTCATTATTTGCATTCCAAATTCCATGTATTTAGTAATCTCAACTTCTGGGAGTGTTTATTTTCTCTTTTGTTTCTTTGGTGCTACTTGCTACCATGGATTAAAGTTTTCTATTCTGCCAGTTATTTCTGCTGTGCAAGCCATAAATTCTGCTTTCACGATTCTTACTTCTCATGTAAATTATTCAGGAACATACTGCTATAGTTCCATGCTGTCTGGGAAATTCACAGAGTCCTCTGCCTCATTAAGTATTAATACATTCTCCTTTATCTTGCAATATTCATTCATAGATGTCTGGTCTCAGTTGACCTGGAGGCCATATTGCCCTTTGTTATTAATATATTCCCTATGGTTTATCTGCTTATGCTCAAAGTCTTTAATTGAATTTTCCTTCTCCTGAGATGAGATCATTGGTAACTTCAGGATTTTTTTTCTTCATGTTCTGCTATTGTTCACTTTTTGACTCTTTCCCCTGTGATTGAAGTTTTTGGGGAAGGAGGTAGAGACTGCACCTTGAAGCTGTCTCTGCTTCCATGCTGAGCACTTCACATTTCATCAGCCTCAGTCTCTGACCCAAGGAGTAGGATAGGGAGGGGGGAATAGGTGGATGCTGGACCCTTTCCTTTAGTCTTAATGTCACACATAGGCATCCCTGCTTCACTTTCTCTTTTCCTCAGTTCTCTGGCTAAACTCTGTTGTAGCAGAGAGCACTACCTGGTTGCTGTACTAGCTAGTGCAAGCTTTTGCTTTTTAGTGTTTGTCAGCACAGGGAGAATGCAGAGGTAGTGTTGAATTCCATCGTAAGCCCTTAGGTGAGATTATGCTGTAGCATGTAGGAATAGATAGGGAATGCTGAATGACCACCTTATGGATTAAAGAATTAGCCTTTGCTTTAGTTCATTTACTGAGTTGTTTGGGGTTTTTTTTTGTTTTTTTTTTTTAACCTCATTAGGGATCCTTGGTGTCTTAGATTGTGGAGAGAGTTGAAGTTGCTTTGTCTCTTATACCAAACTCCTATTTTGGAAAGTTCATGAGGATCAGAGAAAATGTCTAGGCCTCCATCTTGTTGATCACATATCCCAGAAGTCCCTCATCATGTTCTATGCAAGGTTCCTTACTGTTTTTTTGGGTTATGGACTCCTTGGTAGTCTGGTAAATCCTATGGACCTTTTTTTCAGAATAATGTTTTTGAATAATTGAAGAAAATACTAATTTTTAGAGGTTAGCAAAAATAAAAATGTTTTTTTTCCCTCCATCCAAGTTCACAGACCTTCTGAAATCTATTTATGAATTCCTTGGGAGTCAGTGGACCCCAGGATAAGAACCCTTGTTCTAATGGAAATAATTGAGGTTTTTTCCTCCCTTTGTTGGGGAGTGGTGGTGGTTTGCACTTAATAGTATTTTTTTTTCCAATTACATGTAAAGATAGTTTTCAACATTCATTTTTGTAAGATTTTGAGTTCTAAATTTTTCTCCTATTTCCCCTTCCCCTCCTCCCCTGCTTCCTTCTGCCTTCAGACTCCATAGTTCTTTCTCTGGATGTGGATAGCATTTTCCATCATGAGTCTTTTGGAGTTGTCTTGGGTCATTGTGTTGCTGAGAAGAGTTAAGTCTATCAAAGTTGATCATTACTCATTGTTGCTGAATAACTAAAGTTTCACATTACACAAAGAATTAGCAAAAATGAAAAAGATGGGCATTTCCAATGTTGGAGAGGCTGTGGAAAGATAGGCTCACTAATATAGTGTTGGTGCAGCTGTGATTTGGTTCAACCATTCTGTAAAGCAGTTTGGAATTTTGCTCAAAAAAGTGACTGAATGGCCATATTTTTTGATCAAGAGATCTCACTGATACACAGCCCACCCCCCACATACACCTTAAGGATACCAAAGATAAAAGTAAAGATTTCACATATAACATAGCAACTCTTTTTTTTAATAGCAAAAAACTATAAACAATGTCCCTGAACTAATTATGGCATATTAATGTAGTAGAATATTATTCCACCATAAGAATTGATGTTTCTTAAGAAAAAAAAAAGCAACAAGGATCTGGATAGGGTAATAATAAGCAAATGGGGTGAGTTTTAGAAGAGGAAAAGCTGCTGAATGCAAGGTCGTTATCAAAGTGCCTTCTTGGTATGACCAGCAAGGAGTTGACTCTTCCTTCTCCTTGCTCAGGATATTCTGGAATATGAAAGAATGAGCAGCCAGTAATGGGGAAGGTGAATATAAATGAGGGGCCTTCCCCAGAAAGCCATATGTCTGAGTATAAATATGGGAGAGCAAGAGATTAAGGCTGAAGAGGAGTAATGACATACTAGGACGCCAGGGAGTACGGGGGAAGAAGAGGGGGTCACAGGAGGCTTAAGACTGGGAAGAGGGTAGAGAGATTTGAGAATGCTGGGAGAGATGGCAGGGTAGGACTTAGCTCTGCTACCTTATGACCAGTATGATCATAAGCAAATCACTTACCTTCTCTGCCATCTTTCCTCATCTGTAAATTGAAGAGGTTAACCATCATTCTCCTCTCCACATTTTCTACTCTACTTTCTTGTGGTTTGACTCCTACCTATTTGACTATGTACTCTGTCAGTGTCTTTACTGGCTCATCATGTACATCATGTCTCCTACCTGTGGGTGTTTCCTACGGTTCTATCCTGGGCCTTCTTTTCTTTCCCCCCCATACAGTTTCGTAGTAACTGCCATCAGCTGCCATGAGTTTAACTATCATCTCTGTGCAGATGATTTGCGAATCTGTATGTCTATCTATCTCAACACACATATACATATCTGTGTGTCTACACACACACACACACACACACACACACACACACACACAGAGTCCCAGTCTCTCCCCTCAGCTTCAGTCCTGTATCACCAGTTGCCTGTTGGACATTTTAAACTGCATGTCAACAAAATTGAATGCATTATCTTTTCCCATAAACCCTCCTTTCATCCAGACTTCATATTTCTGTTGAAGGCACCACTCTCCAGATTCATAGCTTCGACATTATCTTCACCTCCTCGATAGTCCTCACCCCACATAGCCAGTCAGTTGCCAAGTCTTGCCATTCCTACCACCACAACATTTCTGTCATCCAACGCCTTCCCTCTGGTCACATAGGTACCAGGCCCTTATTGCAATAGCTTCCTAATTGGTCTCCATGCCTTAGTCTCTCCTTTGCTCTAGTGCATCCCTGCTGCTAAACTAATTTTCCTTAAACACAGATCTGATTCTGTGACTGCTTAATCAACTCTGGTGATTTCCTATTGCATCAAGGACAAAATAGAAACTCCTTTGTGTAGCTTTTAAAGTCCTTCATAACTTGGCCTCTTTCTTTCTTCTTTGGATATGACTCCTCTGCACTCTGTGACTAATTATACTTGCCTTCTGTTTCTCGCACATAAACATGATGCTCCATCCCCCATGCCTGCAATGCATTCCTCTTCAAATCTGTCTCCTTCCTGATATATGTAAAACCTTTCCCAGTTCCCCAGCTGCTGATGTCTTCCCTCCCAAACTACTTTATAGTTAATCTCTAACTACCAGTTGATCAGATCAGAGGTCAGCAAAATTGATGGTAATGACATCCCAGGAAGGTCATGTGGTAGTAGAAACTAACTCCAGGCTGTATGAGGCAAGTCATTACAGTCTTTGAGAGGAGCTCATGTCTGACCTGGGGGGAATCATCTGGTAGAAGTTTTCTAGTCCCAGGCAACAATGGTTCCTCCACACAACTATCCCTCTGAGGAGCTAGGTCTGGTGTTTGGAACCCCAGTACCAGTATCTTGTCACTGCAGCCCCTTCATGGGATTAGGAAGAGAATACCATAAGAGACATTCTCTCTTTTTGGTTTGAGATTACCAGCCATTTCAGGTTTGTGTTTTTTTGCATTCCATATGACAGTGCCAGTATATTCCCCAATTTAGTCCAAGATCTTGAAATATCATTCTTTGCTCCTTCTTCTAAACCAAGACCAAACTGAGTGAGTCAGTGGTTCATGGCAGTTGTTGAGGTAGTAATTATTTTTGGTGTTCACTTAGATTTGCTGATTCCTAATTCTTTCCCTTTTCAGCTATTTTCCTGGACAGTGTGAATGGATTTATTGCCCAGGGGATGCCATATCTTCTGTTGCTGCTTCTGAAAAGAGCACAGGAAAAATATTCATCTATGATGGTCGAGGAGATAATAAACCACTTCATATTTTTGACAAGCTCCATACATCACCCCTTACTCAGATACGGCTAAATCCAGTTTACAAAGCTGTTGTGTCTTCTGATAAATCTGGAATGATTGAATATTGGACTGGACCTCCTCATGAATATAAATTCCCAAAAAATGTGAATTGGGAGTATAAAACTGACACAGACTTATATGAATTTGCAAAATGTAAGGCTTTTCCTACTAGCATATGTTTCTCACCTGATGGAAAGAAGATAGCTACTATTGGTTCAGATAGAAAAGTTAGGATTTTCAGGTTTTTGACTGGGAAACTCATGAGAGTCTTTGATGAATCACTAAGTGTAAGTCCATTTAATTTCAATTTGACTTTATAATTGATAAGTGTATCTGGCAATGATTCAGTTACATTAAAAAAAACACTCCCTCCTACTAGCATCTTTGGGATTATACTTCATAGTTAAACTACTTGTGAGAAGGTTTTAATTTATTACATTAGAAGATTGTTGTTATTGTTGTGGAAATATACCTCTGATTTTCTAATAGAAACTGAAAAAATAGCATTGGTTTTATAGAAATTAATTCAGCTAGCTTTGCTAGAACACTTCTATTCTAAAAATAATGGATCTGTAATTTTACCTTTTCAGAATCATAAGATTATGGGCTTAAAAAGGTTCCTAATGACTCCTGTTATTTAAAAAATGAGAAAACTGAGACTAATACAGGTTAAGTGACTTGCTCATTAAAGGTCATACAGGAGCAGAGCTTTGTTTCCAAGTGAGATACATTTCTGGCTCTTCATGACTCTATTTGGAATTTTTTTGGCAGAGAGATTGGAGTGGTTTGCCATTTCCTCCTGCGGCTCATTTTACAGATGAGAAAACTGAGGGAAACAGGTCTTGACTCCAGACCCAGCATTCTATCCACTGAACCACCTAGCTGTCCCTACCTGCTGTTTCTACAGTTAAACTGGGAGGTTTTCGGAACCATTCAGAACTTTTAGAGCTAAGTGATTTTTAGAGCACCATTTAATCTAGTGGCCTCATTTTGTAAATAAGAAAACTCATCCATAGAATAAACAGCTGACTGACTTGCTTGGGTCATATAGCTGGTTACAGAAAGAACCAAGAATTTGAACCAAGTTCTTCTACCTCCAAATCGAAATACCCCTTCTAATATGCTCACTCCATAAGCACTTATGGATTAACCACTGCTATGACTGCAGATCCACTCCTTCACTGCAAATTGAAGGTGATACTGATTGCCCCCAGTTAGAAGTGGGAGTAGCATGTAGTAAAGCACTGTTTTCCTAGTAGTGTTTATGATTTATACTGGACCCATCTACATTCTTTTAATAACCACAGAGGTGCATTTGTTAGATAGGAAGTAGGGATTAGCTGGAGAAGAAAAAGGTTTTCTCAGTACAAAGTTTAAAAGCACTATTGTGCTGTAAACTCTTCGGTCCTTAAAATGTTTGAGGATATTAGAGTTGGTTTCTTATAGTATTACTGTTTATAATATAACAATGTCTTCCATGCAGTTTTGAGGATAAATTAATCATACTTATTATATCCTTCATGGGGTCTTATCAAAAGCATTGAGATTCATTCTGGTTGCAAATGGAAATAGATGGAGAATGTGGTTTCTGGTGTGAGCGTCCTGCCAAAGTCATCTGTAGACAAACATTTAGAAAACACCAAAATGAAATGCATAATCTTCTCATTTTTTTTTCTCTCTAAAGTAATTTTCCACACTTCTCTTAAAGAAAAAACCTCCCCTTTTGCTATTTCTTTAACTGTCAAGAGCTAAGCTAGTTATTACATGAAATCTAACAGTATCAGTAACATATCTGAATGACAGTTATTGTAGAGCAATTTAAAGTTTCCAAATAACCTGTCTGTTGTCACGTTTCATCCTCACATCAACTCTGTGAGCTATATAGGTGTTGTTATCCCTATTTCAAAGATGAGGAAACTGAGGCCCAGAGCAGTTAAGGAGCTTGCCATGTTTCCAGCGCTCCATCTCTGATTTTGAGGTCATACAGCTAATAGGTTTCAGAGGGTGGGATTCAAACTTGTGACTTCCAGATCCCACTGTGCCATAGTGATTCCCTGATAACTTGCAACATTTATGGGTTAACTCAATAAAAATCTGTTCTCAGGGACTCAAAAAATTGAAGTTTGAACAAAGTTCGTATGGTGTAGTGGATAGAATAATGGACGTAGAGTCAAGAAACTCTGGCTTTGAATGTTACCTTAGTTGTGTACTGCCTGCATGTGTAATCTGGGCAAACTACCTGAATTCCTTGAGCCTCACTGTAGAATGGGCATAATAATAAGATTGTTTGAAGAATCAAGTGAGATAATGTATACAAAGCCTTTTGTATACCATAAAGTGCTATGAAAGAAAAAAAATTAGTTCTGTTCTAAAGAGGTATAGGTAAGATGCACAGATAATTGGGTATTACAGAATTTGTAATATGTAAATATACTACATTTACAATGTAAAGCTTGAAGCTTGGAGAGAAGCACCTAATAGTAGATATATCCTTTGCTAATTATAGGGTGGATAAGCATTGATAGAGGCTTTTGTGGGGCCAAATGGTTAACTCCAGGTCTGGAAGCAAGAAACTTAAGACTTCTCCAGCTCTCCAGAGTGTTCTGTGTGTACCACAGTTGTTTATACAAACTAACCCTGACCTGAGGTTATAATGGAGCAGGAACAGATTATTCTGGATCACCCTGACAAACTGAGTGATAAAACTTGTACTAAGGTTTCAAGTGCCATTTTCCTCTGTCTCCAAGGTCACAGACACTAGCTATACACTTTGACATCAGGGTTGATTGGTTTGATTTTATAAGATACTCCTAGTCCTCGCTCATGCTCCCAGCCTAATACACACACCTCATACATTTCAGCTTTGGGAAATTCTATTTTTTGCTGCCCTTCCTACTTCCTTTAAAGTGTGAGGAGCAGCTTCCAGAAAAGGGCAGGGTGAAGAGATGAGGAAAGAGCTTTTAAGATTTTTTGGTACCTAATTTTAAAATAATTCATGTATCAATGAAAAGACTAAAGTCCCATGCTAGTCTGCACAAAGGAAACTCTATACCCTCTCCCTGATTTTTCCAACTGCAATACAAAGCTATTATGGAACTTTGCTATTTTGGCAGTAGACTGTCTAGTGATGCACTGATTGGCCAAAGGATAGAAAAATGAATCAGAGACCTTAGTGTCCTTTGGGAAGCTGGCAAAGGATAGTGCCAGGATATCTATCTTTATCTGCCAACCCAAACTAAAGGATTTGAGGAACAGTGGTTTAAATGTAACTACTACTTCTGAAACTTCTCCTGGTTAAAAACCTATCTAAATGAAATAGATACATAAGCGAACCACATTCATAAGAAATAGTTTAGGTTGTAGTTTAGTGAATAGAGCAGTGGATTGGGTTCTGAAACTGAAATAATTCAAGTTCTACTAATAACTGTGATAATAATAGTGAATATTAATGTAGCACATTAAGGCTTATGAAGTACTTTAATTCGTCTGAGTTAGAATATATCAACATATAATAGTGAACCTGTAAAGTAGGTAATCGAGCTATTAATCCATCCATCTTGCAGATGAGGAAACAGGTGCAGAGAAGTTAAGTAAGTTTCTCAATCATACAGCTAGGGTTAGAAGCAGGATTTAAACTGTTTTCTCTGTTGACTCCAAGTCCAGTACTGCTTCTTGTCATGCTGAGCTGTGTGTCTTGAGTCACCTTGAGTAGATCATTTAAGCCTACTATGCTTCAGAATGATCATCTGTAAACTGGTCAATTTGAATTCTTTTTATATTGAACCTACCACAGCATATGTTTACCCTAAAGTTCAGGTTATGCTTTGTTTAAAAACCTCCTGAAAAGACTCCTAAAAAGTAAACTTCTAGGGCTCTGCTACAAGCCATCAAGACTTCTTTGTTTATTGCTGTCCCATAAGAAATGATTATTTTGTTTCACAGATGTTTACTGAGCTACAGCAGATGAGACAACAACTACCAGACATGGAATTTGGACGGCGGATGGCTGTGGAGCGTGAGTTGGAGAAGGTGGATGCAGTGAGGCTAATTAATATAATTTTTGATGAAACTGGACACTTTGTGCTGTATGGAACAATGCTGGGCATTAAAGTCATAAATGTAGAAACAAATCGGTAAGTCTTAATATAAATTATGTTTCTTTTTTATGTATTTAAAGTAGTTTGACATGAAGGCAGTCCATTCATGCTCAGAGAAAACAATAGGAGTTTTGCTTGCACAAAGACCAAGTGGATTGGGACCAAATGCCTAAACTTAACCAAATGTTATGACTTCCCTTTCTGGTATTTCTGTTGTGTATAATCTCATGTAAAAATTTTCCATCCACATGTGTAAAAAAGCAATGGTAAGAGAATATGCTTAATATTTTAGACTTTGACTTTTTTATTTTTTGTTTTTCTTTTAAAAACAAGCTTCAGTCTGTCTTTGGCTTATTGATTTAAATTAAGTTGTAAATAAACTTTTCATGTAATATATTGCCAAAAATCCTAACCACAGAATTCAGCATGATGGCCTGCTAGAAGTAAAGTCAGAAGTTAAAATGCTTGAAACCACAAGAACCCTTTTGTGCAAATACTCAACTTCTTAGTGCAGACTAGCCACAATCAGATACTGTCAACTGAATGAAAAGTATGTCTTAACCAAAAAAAAAAAAAATCCTACTCTATACATTCCTGCATATAAAGTAGTTTATACTGCAATTCCTGGCAATGCAAAAACCCTAGAGGCTACAGGGAAGTTAGAATGAAAGGAGATTAAAAACTACCCAAGTGAAAGTTAGAACTTTTTATAAAACAGGAAATGACAGCACCTTGGACTTTGAAAAAGGATAAAATTTAGTGATTTAGGAGGGTGTGAGAGACAAAGAGAACAGTAATTTTACCTTTCATCAGTCATTTCCTATGATGAAGAATAATTACTTCTATCTTTTTGCCTATATAAGTTCTTATATCACTTAAGAGATAACTTTTACTTTGAAATAATGATAAATTTTTATATCTTACAGGTGTGTGCGTATACTTGGCAAGCAAGAAAATATTAGGGTGATGCAATTGGCTTTGTTCCAAGGGGTAGCCAAGAAGCATCTCTCTGCAACTACTATAGAGATGAAAGCATCTGAAAACCCTGTTCTTCAGAATATCCAAGCTGACCCAACAATAATTTGTACATCTTTCAAAAAGAATAGGTTTTATATGGTATGTGGTATTGAGAGACAGACCCATCTCAAGGTTGGATGGGCCACAAGAAGTGTAGTCCGATTCGTACCTGTACAAGAATCTTCTCTATAAACTACCCAACAAGTGCTTACCCAACCTTTTCTTGAAGATGTATAGTGAGGGTGGAACCCCCAAGCCGCCTAAGGCATCCCATTCCACTTTCAGCTAACTCTTAATTGTTAGGAAAATTTTCCTTAATGCAGCGAAGTTGATCCATGCTACATGAAATATGCATTCTGCAACTTGTATCTTTGGCTATTAGTCCTGGCCCCAGTGACCAGTGAAACAAGTCTAAACTCTATTTTACCTACTTCACAGCTTCTTCTCCAAACTAAACATTCCTAGCTCCTTCAGGTGATCCTTATACTACATGATTTTGAGGTGCTTTATTGTTCTGATTACCATCTTCTGGACACTGCCAATTTTACCAACATCATTCCTAAAATGTGGTGACTGGAACTGATCCCAGTACTTAGACTAGAGCGAAGTACATTGGAATTATCACTTCCTTCTGTACACTATGTCTGCTTGTGCAGCCTAAGATCATATTGGCTCTTTTGGTTGCCATATCACACTGTTGACTCATTGAGCTTGTAGTCCACTAAAACCTCCAAATCACATTCAGATGAATGGTTGTCTAGTCATGCTTCTCCCCCCATTTACTTTCAAAATCTAAGTGTAATACTTTATCATTCTTAAATTTTCTCTTACTAGATTTGGCCAGTCACTGTATCCAGTCAAGATCTTTTAGAATCTTGACTCTCTCACCTTCCCACTTTTGTGTCATATGAAAATTTGATAAGCATGCTATCTATGTTTTTATCAAAGAAATTGTTAAAATGTTAAACAGAATAGCACCAAACCCTGGGACATTCTCCTAGGCAATTCCTTTCAAGTTTACTCTGAATCATCAATTTATTGACTTCTTTTCTGCTGGTTCTGAATTCATTTAACTGTCCTAGCATCTGGCTCATTTTTCTTCATCTTGTCCATGAGGATAGCATGAGCAACTTTGTCAAATACTAAAATCTAGATAAACTATGTTGACATTATTCCCTTGATCTGCCCATTTAGTTTCGAATCTGTGACGTTTCATGACTATATCTTCAGTCCAGTTTCATCTTTTAACATCTCCAAATGATCTGGTGCCACTACTTTTTATTGTTTTGTCATCAGTCTTCTCTGCCTCTGTAATGGATTGCAAATGAATTGGCATTTCAAACTGATTTAACTACTGTGTCTCTTTGCTTTGTCAGACTCTCTGATATTTGGTACCTGAATTAGTTTCTGGGTTCATTAGTCCTTGTTACAGTTGTTTTCAATTAAAATAAATGAGGCTGTTCCCTTATTGATAGGGATACTGCTTCCATTAATAAAGAAGGAGCAACCTTTCCATTCCCTCTCATCCTTTTTTAGTCTTGATCACATTCTTTCGTGGATTCTTCAGTGAAGATCCATCCATTGTGCTAGAGGCTTTCCTTAGGTACCAGTGAGCACTTTTGTTGTCCATCCGGATGTTAAAGATTTATTTAGGGTGGAAGTACAGAACATAAAAATCTTTGGTCAAATAACTAAAAAATAGCTGTAGAAGTCTGTTGAATTCAACATATATTCAGTTTATATAATGTCAGAAAATTGTTTAAGGTTGTTAGCTAATCTTTACTACTTCACTCTATTGGTTAGGCAGACAGAGGATGACAAAAAAGAACGAAGAGACAGGATGTATGCAGGACAGGCAGAAGTCCCTTACCGTAAAGTGGCATTTCCTTAATATTCCTTTGGTTCTACTGGTTACCTGCTGTGGGCCAAGGGAAACTTCCATGCTTTGGAGTTCTTTAATAGTCATTTAGTTTTCAGTGTTTGCCTCTTGGGAATCCACAGAAGAAAAAGAAACATATGGGACTGGGAGACTGCCCAAATTTGCACCATCTGTGGCTGCCCCATGGTTCATCCAGACCAGGCGGGGCTCTACAAGACAAGTGTCGAACACAGAGGCTGTCTACAGCCCACAACACTCCCTAGGGCAACTTGAACCAGATTAAAATGTAATTGGGAAATATTTAATAGAATAAATAAAAATATTATAAACCTAATGTTAATGTGTTTTACTAAGTCAATAGATTGCCCACAAAGATTCTTATGTATGGTTTATGGGCCCCTATTTCTCTTTGAGTTTGTCACAACTGCTGTACAGTATGAACTCTATGGTATGGCAGTAATGCCCACATGAAGCAGGTGGAGAGGAAATTTCTTTTCATAGAACTAAATCCCATTTAGAACCTTTCCCTTTTATTACAATGTGGTAATTATTTCCTTAGTATGTTGATATAGAGAGGCTTTTTAAAAGTTATTTTTGGTTGCTTTCTTAGGATTCTATGTTTTGATTAATACAGAGAAGGCAGACATATTTTAATATGTATTATTTAAACTCTTATTATAAAATTGAAAGTCATTAGGTTTTTTTTAGCATTGAGCAGGTAAACTAAACCATCATTGGTATGAAAATATAAAGCTAACAGAAAAATTGTTTTTCTTCAGTTCACCAAACGAGAACCAGAAGATACAAAAAGTGCAGATTCTGACCGAGATGTGTTTAATGAGAAACCATCCAAAGAAGAGGTGATGGCAGCCACACAAGCTGAAGGACCCAAACGCGTTTCTGATAGTGCCATTATCCATACAAGTATGGGAGACATTCACATCAAGCTTTTCCCTGTTGAGTATGTACTAATATTTTTCATTGTAGATAAACTTCTAGGGGCATTAGTTAATTTAAAATACACAGATTTTGCTAGGTGGCATTTCTGAGATTATTTGAAAGAAACGTGCTGTCGTCCAGCGCTTAGGGAACATTACAAAAATATTCATTCTCCTGGTATTTGTTACAATAGAAGATGATTCAAATCAAGTTGTTGTCTATCTGAATTACTGATATGATCATGTAATGAAATTGACAAGTTCTGAATATCAGAACTACTAAGGTTTTGTGCCTGTTAATATGAAGAATTGATAATGCTGGGTTCATTTCATGAAAATTGTAGTAGTTATTAAGGAAGAAAGAGGAAGCATGCAGAATGACTACTGTCATCATTAAGTAAGCATTTACTGAGTGCCTGCCATGTGCAGAACACAGAGTTGGGTGCTACATGAAAATAAAATGAGTGATTTGATCAAGTAAATGTTATTATTGCCTTGTGCAAGGTATTTGTCCTGGGTGCTTTAGGGAATAAAAAGGTTAAGACCCAGTCCCATTCTTCCTGGAGAGATGAAAATAATAATACAAGGCATAATGCAATTAGTACCATTAAAAATATTAGAATCAAAGAGTTATAGAAGTTAAGATGAGGGGCAGAAATTACTGCTGGCTTTTGGGGTCTGGAAGGAGGAGTCATGGGAAAAGGTGCCATTTCAACTAGCTCTGGGACAAGTAGGATTTAACAAGAATGGTGGCAGAAAGCTTTATAGGTAGCAGAAAAGGTATATTGTATTTGGGGAGAAAAATGAGCAGTTTGGCTGAAGCATAAAAATCCATGTGGAAAGAATAGTGGGAGGGTACAAATAGAAAAGTAAACTTATGAAACAGTAGACCTGGAAAGGACTTTAAAGATCACTTACTCCAACACCCTTGTTGTATAAATGAGGTTACTAAGTGACGCTCCGAGTAGTAAAATTATCTTGTTTCTTGGCTAGCTCCTGTCTGACCAGGAGTAGGACTAGGACTTGAGTCTCTTTATGTCCCAGGCAAGTGCTCTTTCCATGACGATGGGCAGGATGTATTGGCAGCAGGACACAGGAGCAGAAAAAGGACAGAGTGGAGACAATCCAGAGTTTGCAGGGTGGTTGGCATCTGGCGACTTCTAGCATTCTAATGACACTATTACTGAAACATGACTTTCAGGCTTGCAGGGACTGCAAAGAAAGTAAGGCAGGATCAGTGGATTGGACAAAGCCAAAGGTGATCAGGCTGTAGCAGTGACAGGATAGTAAAAGTGGAAGAAAGGAAAAGGCTTTCAGTACATTCTGAATTTGAGATCTTAGAGTCAGGACAGTTATTAGTGAGGATGATGTTCAGGCTGTCACTGGGGCCAGTGGCTACCCTAAGTAGAGTAATGAATGAAGGATGTTCCTGGATTTGAAGAAATAGAGGTGTTAAGTTCAAGTTTTTGGAAGGTCTAGTTCCCTATTTAGATTTCATTGTCTTTCCCAAATCCAAAAGGACAAATAAAAGGAAAAAGAGAATAAATTGGAGAGGCAGAGCAACATAGTGGATAGTGTAGGATTTAAGAGTCTGGACCTGGGTTCAGATTTTGTCTCACACTAGTTGTGTGATCCTAGACAAATCACTTGACCTTTCATAGACTCAATTTCTTCATCTGTAAAACAGGGATAATAATATTGTATTATCTGCCTCATTCTGTTGGGAGAAAAGCATTTTGCAAAACTGAAAGCACTATATAAATGTGCTATTACATGACTTTTCATCTAATTTTAGATTCTCCCCCCCCCCAAAAAAAAACCATGTCCTTAATTTGGGAATGATTTACATGAATAAACTTATAAAGGGAATGAAAGGGGAAGGGAGACAGAGACTTAACTAAATCCCAGAATACCAGAATACTAGCTCTAATAAGCAATGTAAGACAAATAAAGGGAGGCATGATTTTAAATGACAAGTGGTAGAAACTGACAATGTAAATGGGGTCAAAAATGTTTAGATAAAATATTAGTAACCTGTTCTTTGATGATCAGAGTAGGTCAAATCAGTAATTATTTATTAAGTGCCTACTATATGCCAGGCCCTTTGCCAATTAAGGGCAGGATGCTCCACTGCTCATGTTTTCATCAATAATGGAGGATAGAGTAGTTGTTCTGGGTCAGCTGAATGTTTGAAGAAGCAGTAAGGATGACAGAAAAAACCATTCAGCAAATTGAGACGTCTTTAAAATATTTTTTGATTTGTATATTTACCTCCTAAGATTTTGCACCTTTCTCATGTAACTAATTTTAGTCTCAAGATAGATCCATAAGGGAAGGATGAGTATTTTTCTTTCTCTGAATTCCATAGATTAGCCATGTCACCCATTATTTAGTCTGAGTTTTAAAAAGAGGTCAAGAGCTATTTATATATTTACAAATAAAAAGAAAGCAATAATTTCTGCAGAATGCTTGAGGTTTTCAGTTGAAAAATACTGATTCTTTGATGTGGTTTTTAAAAAAACAGCAACATTGTTAGGTTATATTCTTTTTGTTCTAACACCCTCAAGAGAGGCTGCAAATTTTTATGCAAATTTTTTGCTGTTAGTATTGAGCCAGTATTATAAAACTTAATCATTGAGGCCTCAGAAGAGGTAAAACAAAGTATATCTTCATATGAGAGTAAGAAGTACTGAAAGAGTTACAGGATCTGGGCTCGTGACTTTGAGCAGGTCACTAAATTATTCCTTTTCTGGTTAGACTATATTATCTCTAAAGGTCCTGTACCTAAACCTATGATTCTTTTGATTCAATTTAATTAGATATTAATATTTTCAGAAATTTGAATTTACAGTACCAAAAGTTCCTATTGAACTAGTAGGTAACCATCTTGCTATATGAGAAATTCTGAATTTAAATGTACCCAGAGAGTTATAAACCTTTTTTTTCTTTTTTTGAGTTGTATAGGCCGCTGGCAAAATATTGAAGATGCCCAATCGGTGTGTTTATTTTTGTGTTCCACCATTCTTCGGGCTAGGTGTGATATCACAGTACTTGTCCCCAAGATGTTTCTGGCAATTTCTCAGGCTCTTGATTTCAGTCTATTTGAAATCAAATAGCTGAGAAACTGATCCAGGGCTGATTTTTACTGCCCTCTTTTTCTCATGCACGCTTGAGCAAGATGTGTTTTTTCTGTAACCAGTGTGTAGTAGAGGTAAGAGGGGGAAGAGCTAATTCAATTCAGCAGATATTAAGTGCCTATTATGTGCAAATCACTCAAAGTACAAAGGCAAAAGTGAGATTGTTCCCACTCTTAGATTACCCACTGCTAAGGGAATAATGTGTACACAGATAAGTATCCAAGGCAGCTTGGGGGGAAATAAGAACTAATGGGGTGGGGGAGGAGAACGAAATGAGGTTGGAAGTAGTCAGGGAATGTTCCACCAAGATGTTGGTCCCTCAGCAAACCTTGAAGGAGTCTCAGACATAGAGTTGAAGGGGGGAGTACATTCTAAGCAAGGGGATGGTTTATTCAAATGCACAAAGAATGGAGAGAGAACGTCCAAATCAGGGCACAGCTCTTAGCGTAGTTTGACTAAAACATACAGTATAGGAAGGGAATATTATGAAATAAAGGCTGCAGAGGCAGTTTGCATATAGATTATGGGGAGCATTAAACTATAGATGAATTAAGTAAGGAGTTCTGTATTCAAACCTAGTGGGGCAAAAGGAATCACTACATATTTTTGAGTGATAGTCAAACCTGTGCCTTAGAAAAAAATCTATTTTGTGGTCATTTCAGTGAAATAGAGGACTTTCAAGCATTCTTGATGAAAAGGCCAGAGTTGAATAGAAAATTTGATTTTCAAATACAAGATTCGAGTGGAACATGAAGAAGTAAACAGGAAAGAGAAAATCATAAGAGACTTATTAAGGTTGAACTGTTTACATTCCTGCATGGAAGGATGATATTTGTAACTCATGAGACCTTTGTCAGTATTAGGGTAGTTGGAGGGGAAAAAATTATTTGTACGTATACATATATAGATAGATAGATAGATAGATAGATAGATAGATAGATAGATAGATA